GAGTGTGGTGGTTAAGTACAGAGATGTTTCCTAGCCTGGAGTGCAACAGGAGCATATACAGGTCTCATTTTTAGAGTCGCGAAAATCAAAGCTGGTTTATCTATGGCAATGTATGATACTTTCAAACTGACAAGACAGGTTTAAATTGCATTATTTTAGACTTTAAAACTGAGCGTCTTGCCTCGGGATCTGATTTACGCTGAGATTAATGTGTTGGTATGAGTTGTAAAACAATGTACATTAAAAAAACACTAACAACCACCTACGTATTAGCTTTTTGCTGTGAAAGTATAATTATGACTCCAAAGCAGACTTCAGCAGTACAGCCTTCCAAACAGGAAGAGACATATGACTACCCAGACTAAAAAGAAATCTCGTAGATGACCCTTTCCAGATGTTGCCTCATGGGATGTAACATCCACCCTTTCTATAGATAGCTACATCCTAACTCTGGTTGCAGTAGCACCCGATCCTCTTTCCTCTAAATCTTCAGCTGTCCTTTGATTTAGTAATTGTTCTCTTGTGTTCCAACCATCCGACTCTTAATTGCCCCATTCATCCTTCTAATTTCTATATGCTATGCTGTATTTCTCACAGATTCGTATTTGCTTTGCTGCTGCTGGGTGTGCATGCATATGCTTTCAATTTGCTTGCTGTCTTATGGCGACCCATGAATGTCTTAGGTTATGTTAGGCAAGAAATACTCAGGTAGTTTTGACAGTTCCTTCCACTGAAATATAGATTGAAGCATCTGGTTGTGATCCCCAGGTTGTGCCAGTCAGCTTTCGTATGATATTGTTTCTAGCGCCCACTTTTTGCTTGATGTTCAGGCAGTGCTTCTTGTAGGTCAGAGCACGGGCCAGAGTGACTCCCAGGTATTTGGGTGTGCTGCAATGCTCCAGTGGGATTCCTTCTAGTGTGCGCTAGAAACAATATCATACAAAAGCTGACTGGCACAACCTGGGGATCACAACCAGACACAGTGAAGACATCTGCCCTTGCGCTATGCTATTCTGCTGCTGAGTATGCATGCCCAGTGTGGAACACATCTCACCACACTAAAACAGTGGATGTGGCTCTTAATGAGACATGCCACATTATCACGGGGTGTCTGCGCCCTACACCACTGGAGAAATTACACTGTCTAGCTGGTATTGCACCACCTGACATCTGCCGGGAAGTAGCAGCCAATAGTGAAAGGACCAAGGCAGAGACATCTCCAGCTCATTCCCTGTTTGGGTATCAGCCAGCACATCAACGACTTAAATCAAGAAATAGTTTTCTAAGATCTACAGAGACACTCGTTGAAACACCTCAGCAAGCGAGAGTCCAAAAGTGGCAGGCTCAAACCCAGAACCTCAACTCAATGGCTGATACCAAATGAGAGACTCCCCCTGGGCACACAGAAAACTGGGCAACTTGGAAGGCGCTGAACAGACTGCGCTCTGGCACCACGAGATGCAGAGCCAGCCTTAAGAAATGGGGCTACAAAGTGGAATCCACAACATGCGAGTGTGGAGAAGAGCAAACCACTGACCACCTGCTGCAATGCAACCTGAGCCCTGCCACATGCACAATGGAGGACCTTCTTGCAGCAACACCAGAAGCACTCCAAGTGGCCAGATACTGGTCAAAGGACATTTAATCAACTACCAAACTCACACATTTTGTATTTTCTCTGTTTGTTTGCTTTGTTCTGTTAGAAATGTAATATAATTGACTGGCTGCCCTGACACGAGAAATAAATAAAATAACCTTGATTAGCACTGAATAGCCTTGCAAGCTTCAAAGTCTGGCTGCTTCCTGTCCGGGGGAATCCTAATCAAGGTGGCCAATTGCCAATTCTGCCACCCTAGAAGTTTGAAAACATGCAAATGTGAGTGGATCAATAGTAGATCAATACGTATTGCTTCGGGGAGAAGGTAGCGGCGCTCCAAACAGTCATGCTGGCCACATGACCTTAGAGGTGTCTATGAACAACGCTGGCCCTTTGGCTTAGAAATTGAGATGAGAACCACTGAGTTGGACTTAATGCCAGGGGAAACGTTTACCTTTACTAGAAAAACTCTTTCAACTTGGTTTTGATTTACAACTCATTTTGTGAACTTTTTCATTTGTACAAGTTCATTTTGTTTTTTTATGCAGTAGTGACATTATCATTGCAACTACCATACTCCTGGCCTACTTCGTTTCCTTATACTTATCCCTTAACTCTGATAAAGAAAGACTAAGAGTATGAACACTGTGAGCAAACTGCAGTAAATGCTTTCTCTAAGGGTTTTTTGTTCCGATGCATGATCTACTAGCTTCTGAGAGTTTTTTTAAAAGTTGCGGAGCCCTGTTATGAAATAAAGGAACATCTCTTCTAGGCAAGACGTTATATAAATAAAGAATACATTCTGTGATCATTTTCATATGCTGCAAAGCTTTGGCTGAATGTTTCCAAAGAGCTGGCGCCTCTTTTTGGATTGGGGCAGACCAAGTCTTGCGAGGGTTTCTCCCTTTTTTATTTGAGCTCAAATGTGGTATCTATTAAAGTGATTTAAGCTGTGCATGTTTTCAAAAAAAAAGTTTTATGCCGACTTTGCAGAAACAATGAAACTTTCAGTCGCCATCATCCCAGTCTTTAAGCATATGTGTGTGATGACTCTTGTTCTGCAAAATGTAAGGGGCTTTTTGTTGGGTCGGTTTGATACAACAATATATTCAATATCTTTTGGCTATGAAAACAGACTGAAACTGAAATTATATATGGTCCCTTTGCATATATTTCACAATCAACATTAGTTTAAAAATAGACAAAGTAACTAATGGAGAGATGAGGGGAAAATGTTGCTGGGTCTGCAAGTATTATCATCATTTTGTTGATTACACAAGATTTTGTCTCCAGAATATTACAGCCAGAATTGACTACTCTATCACAACTTCTTCAACTAATAATAAAAGACTACTGTTCTAAAACATGGCCAATAATAATAATGATAATAATATTGGAAAGTGTCCGACATGTTATCCAATGCAACAACCAGCATAGTGATCTTGTTTGCTGTGTACTAATCTTGTTGTGTTTCAAATAATAATAATAATAATAATAATAATAATAATAATAATAATAATAATAATCTGGAAAAGCTTACATGGTATGAGGATTAAAAGAGTGAACTGCAAAGACTCTGGCACAAGCCAGTAAAGATGGTCCCAATGGTGATCGGCACACTGGGTGCAGTGCCTAAAGACCTTGGCCTGCACTTAAAAACAATAGGCACTGACAAGATTACCATCTGCCAGTTGCAAAAGGCCACCCTACTGGGATCTGCACGCATTATTCGCCAATACATACACAGTCCTAGACACTTGGGAAGTGTCCGAATTATGATCAAATACAAAAGCCAGCATAGTGACCTTGTTTGCTGTATACTCATCTTGTGTATCAAATAATAATAAATTTTATCAGTTAGCCCTTAGACCATATCACAATACCAAACCAAATAACAAGGCTTGATAAGACTTGATTACACTCTAAGTAGTAAGTTAAAATAAGACAATACAGTAAATAAATATAGCACACACACACACATATATATACACATATACATAAACATACATACACACATGATAGATAACATAAATCTGGAAGAGATCCCCCCAAACAATCATCCAACACTCTTCTAACATGCACAAATACACCATCAAAGCCGTCCAGACAGATAGCCAGGTAGCCACACATACAATAAACCATATATATCAGGGGTCCTCAAACTAAGGCCCGAGGACCAGATATGGCCCTCCAAGGTCATTTATCTGGCCCTCACTCAGGGTCAACCTAAGTCTGAAATGACTTGAAGGCATACAACAACAACAACAACAACAACAACGCTACCTCATCAGCCAAAAGCAGGCCCACACTTCCCACTGAAATACTAAGATTATATTTGTTAAAATTGTTCTTCATTTTAATTATTGTATTTCAATTCAGGTTTTTTTTTTGCACTACAAATAAGATATGTGCAGGATGCATAGGAATTCATTCATGTTTTTTGCAATTATAATCCGGCCCTCCAACAGGTTGAGAGACTGTGACCTGGCCCTCTGTTTAAAAAGTTTGAGGACCCCTAATATATATCTATCTCTACATCTGCACAGACAATGCAACAAAAAATAAATAAATAGTAATAATATAAAATAATAGTATCATGGTATCATTAAAATAATAAATAATCCAGATATTACCCACAAGCATTATAAAATTACATATATTAGAAACCAGTTTTCTCTTTTCTTTCTTTCACATTTCACCACACCGGGCCACAGCAATGTGTGGCCGGGTATAGCTAGTACAGTAAATAATACATTTCCTTATCACCCCTACAATTTAGTCTGATCAGCCCCAAATATGTGGTTCTCAAACGTATTGTTTTGCTTAAATACAGAGCTGTTTTATATGTTATTTTTGGGTCTTGGCTACACATAAAATTTGTTTTTCTGATATGAGATTCCCAATACATTGTCCGTTTGATATATGGACCAAGGCAGAAGTCTCTCACCTTCTGATACAATTTACAATCAAATAATATTGTATATCCTCAATTTCAGGTGCTCTGCAGATACAAATCCGTTCATTATCAGGGATGCCAATTATGATAAAAATTACGTTTCTTACTAAATAATGTATAACACACTTCAGTGCATAAATCTACCATCTGTAGCTACCGATGTAGAAGACAGTGACATAGGGCATTGTGACTAAATTATTATGCCTGAGCAGACAGCAAAAGGTAATGATGTTAGATGGAATCAATTTAAATTGAAATATCTAATTGGATTAGGAACCACTGGATCAGCAACTCCCTATTGCAATATTGAATTGGTAGGGGAAAAAAACTGAATTATTAATGTATTCACGTGGCGCTTTTAGTTCAAACAGGAGTTATTTTGAACGGTAACATTCAGATAAAACATTAGATTTAAACAACATGCTTTAGACATTGACGTTATTGAAAAAAAATCTAGATTTTGGTAGAGTACTAACCAGTAACTGACAGCAGCTGTGAAACTCTCACCTCCATTTCCTCCCGATGAGACCTGTCTCTGTCTTCGAACTCACGGGTTCTTCTTCGTGCTTCTTCAAAGGCCTGTTGTGCCAGTGCGTCTTCCTGCTATCGAGCATAAACACAGCGTCAGGCAAGAAGCAGCTTTACTTTCCATTGTATGACATGATCGTTGCTTGATGCAACCTTATTTATTGACTGGATTTATATTGCTATGTAACACGATTTTTGTTCCTGGGTTATAAATGTCATTTCCTAATTGGCTCGATCATAAAAACAAGGAACAAGTTTATGAAACTGCAAAAAGTTTGAATTCTTGACAGCAGAAAGTGTCACCCCAAAGGAGATGCATCACCGAATGCAAGTTGCTTATTGTGATTGTGTTGATGTGAAAACTGTGCATCGCTGGGCGTCTAAGTTTAAATATGCTGAGGGGACACCTTCTGCTGTCAAGAATTCAATGACTGCACATTGCTTAAGTCGCATTGACTGACCGTCTATGCAGGGATTCATACTTCACACTTTAACAACACAACTGTTGAATGCCAAGGCTTCCCGCCAAATGGAACTGTAGAGGAGCGTCTACTGAACAAGCCAGTACCTGCCGCATACCAGTACTGCCATCTGTTGAGGAGTTACGAAGGTAGAGGCATTACTTTTCATTCAACTCTCGTACATACATACACACACGAGGGTGGGTCAAAAAGTAATACCTCCCAGCTCTACTGGACTATCTATGCATGATATGATAGAGCAGTGGTTCTCAACCTGTGGGTCCCCAGATGTTTTGGCCTTCAACTCCCAGAAATCCTAACAGCTGGAAAACTGGCTGGGATTTCTGGGAGTTGTAGGCCAAAAACATCTGAGGACCCCAGGTTGAGAACCACTGTGATAGAGGTAACCGTACTCTATTGATAAAGGAGGAACAATGGGTTAAACTCTTGTATCAGTAGGACTGAAGACTGACAGGCAAGAGGTTCGAATTTGGAGAGTGTGGATGAGCTCCCTCTGTCAGCTCCAGCTCTCCATATGGGGACACGAAAGAAGCCTCCCACAAGAATGGTAAAACATCAAAACATCTGTGCGTTCCCTGGGCAACATCCTTGCAGACGGCCAATTCTCTCACACCAGAAGCGACTTGTAGTTTCTCAAGTCCCTCCTGACATAAAAAACTCAAAACTCTACTGATACAGTCTTTTCTTTTTCCAATTGACTGATTAGAACCATGAATCTGAAACTAAAAGAAAGAGTCACCATTGAATTTCTGGCAAAAGAAGGTTGTGCACCTAAGGAAATCCAGAATCGCTTGAAGAATGTTTATGATTTGGCCCCTTCTGACTTTGACCTGTTTGGACCTCTGAAAGACAAGCTACATGGTTACAAATTCAATGACCTGATTGATGTTAAATCAGCTTTAAAATCATAGATCACGAAGCAAAACCCTATTTTTTTCCAAAATGGTTCTGATGCCTGGGTTAAATGATGGCGCAAACGTATACAAATTGTTGTCTATGTTAAACGATTGTTTTGTGTAGATGACAGTTCAAGCTATGATCTGTTGCAACTTCTGCTTTTCTATGTTCATTCATAATGTTTTTATGACAAAGGAGGCAAAGCTTTTTGACCCATCCTCGTGTGTATGTATACATATGTTTGTGTATGTATAATTTTTTTTGTCATATCAGGAGTGACTTGAGAAACTGCAAGTTGCTTCTGGTGTGAGAGAATTGCCCGTCTGCAAGGACGTTGCCCAGGGGACGCCTGGATGATTTGATGTTTTTATCATCCTTGTGGGAGGCTTCTCTCATGTCCCCGCATGAGGAGATGGAGCTGATAGAGGGAGCTCATCCGCCTCTCCCCGGATTCGAACCTGCAACCTGTCGGTCTTCAGTCCTGCCAGCACAGGGGTTTAACCCACTGCGCCACCGGGGGCTCCATTGTGTATAATATTATATAGAAATATATAATATTATATAATAATATAATATACATTGTGTTAGTGTATCAATGTAAAATAGGCAATTTTCTGTATATTGTATTGTTATTACACAATATGGGCACTGTATTTGCAACAACCCCGTGTGGATTCCCACAGTCCTGTCTTTCTCAGCTTGCCAACGAATACCAGGGTATCTATCTAAACTGTGTGCAGTTATGCTGAGGACCACACCTTCTCTCTCTCTCTATATATATATCTATATTACTGATCCTACAATGACATATTGCAAGTGTCAATATACAGTATTGTTGGGCTAAGGAATAGCAACACCGCAGTCAAATCTCAGCATAACGTTTCAAATGTGAAATGCACTAACAGTACAAATGGGGCAAGTCTAGAAATACTATCCCATGTTGTATAATATTTCCAAATAAACTCCAATTTCTGAAGCATGTATTATAGCTTTGTCTGTCTCTGCAGAACTGACTTCCTTAGGAGCCCCCGGTGGCACAAAACCCTTGTGCAGGCAGGACTGCTGACCGACAGATCAGCGGTTAGAATCCAGAGAGGATATGGATGAGCTCCCTCTGTCAGCTCCAGCTCCCCATGTGAGGACACGAGAGAAGCCTCCCACAATAATGGTAAAACATCAAAACATTCGGGCGTTCCTTGAGTAACGTCTTTGTAGATGGCCATTTTTCTCACACCAGAAGCAACTTGCAGTTTCTCAAGATTGCTGTCTTGCATCTCTTCTGCAGCATAAGAGTTTTTGACATATAAGGCTACTCCGCCTCCTCTCCCCTTTGTTCGGTTTCTGTGAAGGAGGTTATAGCCCTCCATGTCTACATTCCAGCGATAGGAGTCATCCCACCAGGTTTCAGTGATGCCTATGAGATCATATTTGTGGTGTTGTGCTAAAAGTTAGAGTTCTTCTTGTTTATTTCCCATGCTCTGTGCATTAGTGTAAAGACATGTGAGCCCCTGAGATCTTCCCCTGAGCTGTTTAATTGGGATTATTGTGCTTTTGGTACTTGGTCCTTGTTGTGTTTGTGCAGCCCTCCGTTTAGCCTTCTGGCGATTCCCAGACATTATGGGTAAAGTAGTGTTCGCAAGGCTGTTGTCCCCCTCCCCCGGTGGACCTAATTTAAAGTGCGCCTAATGAGGTTTGCGAGTCTGTGAGCAAAAAGGTGTTTTCCTACTTGTGTGAGATGCACCCCATCCCTTGCCAGTAGGCCATCCTCCTGGAAAAGCAGGCCATGGTCGAGGAAGCCAAAGTGTTCCTCCTGGCACCATTTTCTAAGCCAGTCATTGACCTGTACTATTTTTCTGGCCCTTGTATCTTCTGGCCCTTGTATCTTCTTCCATAAGGTTTTCAAAAGCTCAATTTCTAAAAGTTTATAAGAAGTCAGTTTGTTAATGGTTTATATTGAGCAAATATTTTCAAATGTCATTTTAGTTTCAAAAGGATCTGGAAAAATCCCACTTAGGTACAGAAGTGCAATTCTGCTGAAACCTTTTGCAACAAGATCGTAATCCTTTTGGTTTGGTTTGATTACTCTCTTTTTCTACTTTTATTTTGAAGGCATCCTTCAAGCTCCAAATGTCAAAAAGTGCAAAACACTAGCTCTAATGTGATGGTATCTTTTTAACAGCTGGGGTTTCCTAACAAGTTCGGGCACAAAAGAAGTCCTCCTCCACAGAATCCAGATACCTTTTAATATACGAAATACACTGAATTTTAAATAAAATGTCTGAAATGAGAGAATGTCAAATTGCCTTTTTTGCCTTGGGCACTTCCTGTACCCTGCAGCTATTTTGTGAATCGATGCGAAAGAGTTCCCCTTGTGGCCTTGCTTAGTTTAACACAAACATCTGTCAATCCATAAACACTAGCTAAGTCCTCAGCAATACGTACTGAAGGGCAATGGGCAAATATGCCTTATGAAGATGTCCTTTTAAGTAGGAGATTGCCTGCATCTATGGCAAGCATCCTCAGAGGTAGTGAGGTGTGTTGGAACAAGAAAAAAGGTTTTATATATCTGTGGAATGACCAGGGTGGGACAAAGGACTCTTGTCTGCTGGAGCTAGGTGTGAATGTTTCAACTGACCACCTTGATTAGCATACAGTGGGCTGACTGTGCCAGTTTTTTAATACTGGTAGCCAGATTTTATTCATTTTCATGGTTTCCTCCTTTCTGTTGAAATTGTCCACATGCTTGTGTATTTCAATGGCTTCTCTGTGTAGCCTGACCTGGTGGTTGTGAGAGTGGTCCAGCATTTCTGTGTTCTCAAATAAAATGCTGTGTCCAGGTTGGTTCATCAGGTGCTCTGCTATGGCTGACTTCTCTGGTTGAAGTAGTCTGCAGTGCCTTTCAAAATTCCTTGATTCGTGTTTGGGCGCTGCATTTGGTTGTCCCTATGTAGACCATATGTAGACCCTAACAGCGCTCCATGCAGTCATGCCGGTCACATGACCTTGGAGATATCTACGGACAATGCTGGCTCTTTGGCTTAGAAATGGAGATGAGCACCACACCCCAGAGTCAGACGTGACTGGACTTAATTTCAGGGGACTACCTTTACTATGTAGACCATAAACTCTAAAATTGCAACAGCAAAACAACAGAGAGGAAGCAGGCAGGGACATCTAATTACCTCTCAACAAAAGTTTGCTCTAGGCACAGTCAGCCCATTGTATGCTAATCAAGGTGGTCAGTTGAAACATTCACACCTAGCTCCAGCAGACAAGAGTCCTTTGTCCCACCCTGGTCATTCCACAGATATATAAACCCGTTTTCCTAGTTCCAACAGATCTCACTACCTCTGAGGATGCTTGCCATAGATGCAGGCGAAACGTCAGGAGAGAATGCCTCTAGACCATGGCCATACAGCCCGAAAAACCTACAACAACCATTGTTCTTAATTTTAATTATTGTATTATTTTTAAGTGTTTTTGCACTACAAATAAGATATGTGCAGTGTGCATAGGAATTCATTCATATTTTTTTCAAATTATAATCCAGCCCTCCAACAGTTTGAGGGACTGTGACCTGGCCCTCTGTTTATAAAGTTTGTGGACCCTTGGTTTAACAGAAGGAAAAAAAAACACCAAGATACACCAAGATGCTCAATAAAAGGCCACGAGCAATTATATAGAGAACTTTTAAAAGATTAATTGATTATGTAATGGTTGGGATATTATTTATGCCAACTTGATGTATATCAGACATAATTTAGAAGTATAGACAGTCCCGGAGATGCAAACATCCAACTTGCATACAACCCCTAGTTACAAACAGGGACGAGACAACAGGAAGTGAGTAGAAATCTACCCCTTGGAATAATAGAGTCTCACTTATCCGACATAAACGGGCCAGTAGAACATTGGATAAATGAAAATGTCATATAATATGGAGTCTCACACTGTTACCCATCCACTGTTACCCTTGCGCTATGCTACTCTGCTGCTGAGTATGCATGCCCAGTGTGGAACACATCTCACCACGCTAAAACAGTGGATGTGGCTCTTAATGAGACATGCCGCATTATCACAGGGTGTCTGCGCCCTACACCACTGGAGAAATTACATTGTTTAGCCAGTATTGCACCACCTGACATCCGCCGGGAAGTAGCAGCCAATAGTGAAAGGACCAAGGCAGTGACATCTCCAGCCCACCCCCTGTTTGGGTATCAGCCAGCACGCCAACGACTTAAATCAAGAAATAGTTTTCTAAGATCTACAGAGACACTCGCTGGAACACTCAGCAAGCGAGAGTCCAAAAGTGGCAGGCTCAAACCCAGAACCTCAACCAATGGCTGATACCAAATGAGACTCACCCATGGGCACACAGAAGACTGGGTAACTTGGAAGGCGCTGAACAGACTGCGCTCGGGCACCATGAGATGCAGAGCCAACCTCAAGAAATAGGGCTACAAAGTGGAATCCACGACATGTGAGTGTGGAGAAGAGCAAACCACTGACAACCGGCTGCAACGCAACCTGAGCCCTGCCACATGCACAATGGAGGACCTTCTTGCAGCAACACCAGAGGCACTCCAAGTGGTCAGCTACTGGTCAAAGGACATCTAATCAACTACCAAGCTTGCAAACTTTGTGTTTTGTTTGTTTGTTAAAAAATGCAATACAACTGTTTGGTTTGCTCCTGACACAATAAATAAATAAATAAATAAATAAATAAATAAATAAACAAACAAACATTGCTTTCAGGCATGAACACTAACTGGCTGCTGCAAGGATCTGAAAGACCTGTATCATCCATCTTTGAAAATGTTGGGTGGCAGGCATAACTTGCATCTTTCTGGATCCTATTACATTCCACTCCATAGCAAAGTCAAAATCTGATAGGAGCAGCCATGAGGAGAGACAGAAAGAAATATTATTATCGGAACAATGATAAAATGCAGGCCCCAGTAAATACGAACAGAAATAGGAAACACATAAAAACATAAGGAAGATCTTGGCACTATCTACTGTCTTCTTTTTTCAGTGAAGACAGGGGTTGACTGTGTTTACAGTTGCTTTTTCCAAGATCCCTCTGTTCCTGCCTTAGAAAGCATATACTATGTACAAATCCAGAATCTAGTGCATAAATAAGACCTATATTTAAAATTGCCTTACCTGTGCTCGTTCTTCATCAAATTCTAGGCAGCCCATGCCATCCAATCTTTGGAGATCTATCCAGCCTTTCCAGATAACACAAACACCATTAAGAATCATAGGTGCTTTTAAGTAAACCTGAAATAAGAGAGTGCATACACTGATTATGCAGATTGCATACCTCTTATGACAACTAGAAAGTAAATAATAATAATAATAATAATAATAATAATAATAATAATAATAATCTTTATTTATACCCCGCCAGTGTCTCCCCAGTGGGGACTCAGAGCAGCTTACATGAGGCCAAGCCTGAACAACAAATTACAATAAAACCAAACCAAAACACAACTGAAAACGCAAACGGTAAACAACAACATCATAATAAAATAAAACATGTAAATACATAACAATATAAAATCACAATAGATGCAATCACAATGACAATGGGCGGGGTACATGTAATGATTAAAAGAGAGACTAATTAAAACTTGGGCGAGATAAAAAAGAGACAGATTATTTGTGGAGGAGGGCTCATTATAGCGGCGGTTGTGGAATCAAGCTTTCCCACAGAGGAAGGGACAACATATACTCCAATGACAGAACGTTGAGGCTAAGCAGTAGTGTAGGATTGTATACCTACTCTCCAAAGGCGCAGAAGAGCCAGGTTTTAAGGTCCTTTTTAAAGGTTTCTAGGGTAGGGGCTTTCCTAATTTCTCCAAAGTTGGGGGGCCACAGAGGAGAAAGCTCTCTCTCTTGTGCTTACCAGGCGAGCTTGTGAAACTGGCAGGGGTGAAAGAAGGGCCTCCCCAGATGAACGGAGGGCCCGAGATGGTACATGGAGGGAGATACGGTCATGAAGGTAGGCGGGTCCCAAACTGTTTAGGGCTTTATAGGTGACAACCTGCACCTTGAATTGGGACCGTAAAATAAACGGCAGCCAGTGGAGCTCCTTAAACAGGGGGGTTTACCGCTCCCTGTAAGTCGCTCCAGTTATTAATATGGCTGCCGAGCTTTGGACAAGTTGTAGTTTCTGGGCCGTCTTCAAGGGTAGCCTCACATAGAGTGCATTACAGTAATCCAGTCTAGAGGTAACTAAGGCATGGACCACCATGGTCAAGTCAGACGTCACAGTTGGCGCACAAGTTTTAAATGTGCGAAGGCCTTCCCGGCCACCATGAAATGGTTAGCATTTCATGTCTACAGATCTATAGCTAATCTCTTCAAGCAAAAAGCTTCCCTTGCAGGTAAACTGAACTCAAAATGTATTTTAAAGAGGAACACATGTGAATTGGAAATTTTGCTGTATTCAAATTGCAGCAATATAGCGCTCCTAAAATAATTTTAAAATAGTCTTAAAATAAAATTATACCCTTTGGTTCTCAGAGCAAACATTCAACCTTTAAGCATGGCTCAAATGAATCTATGTATTGAATTTAAGGCCCTCGTGACCTGAGAGCTTTCATTTTAAAGAATACAGTGAGTTTATTAAAAATGTTCCCATGTTATTTATCAAAAGAGTTTACACCTCTTAGGACTTGCAGGAAAAAGAATAAAAGACCTGGGCAACTACATACATAAGCACAGCCAAAACAAACAAACACAGAACAGTAGCAGCACCATATTTTCACACTCCCAAATGTTGAGCACAAGTTGTGAGTTGCTGTCAAGTCAGCTTTGATTTATGTGGATGTTTTGAATGAAAGATGTCCAAAGTCGTCCTGTTATAAACAGCCCTACGCAATGTTTTGCAAACTGAAAGCCAAGGGTTTTTTTTTTTGACCGAGCCAATGTACATATCTGAGACTAGACAGGCATCTAAAACTACCATTCAGATTGATGAGACAATTACTGCTTTTGCTATAGCAACCAAACAGAAAATGAAGTTTCTCCTCAGTAGTTTGAAAGTTGCTGGCACCTAATATCTTTTAATGATTTTACACACTTGTGGTTTATTTCATTTAATTATTAAACATGCCTTTAGGCTGAAAACCATTTGTTCTTATTTAACTTGACAATATTGCTGGAAACCTGAATACCATATAATAATAATAATAATAATAATAATAATAATAATAATAATAATAATAAAAACTTTATTTATACCCCGCCACAATCTCCCTGCTGGGGACTCGGGGCAGCTTACATGAGGCCAAGGCCAGACAACAAATTACATCAGAATAAAACCGAAAACACAAACAATAAACAACAACATCATAATTACATAACACATATGAATACATAACAATATAAAATTACAATAAACACAATCACAATGACAGTGGGCGGGCTACATGTAATGATTAAAGGAAAACTAATTAAAAACTGATTAAAAACTCGAGTAAGATAAGGAGAAGGTGGTTATTTGTGGAGGAGGACTCATTAAAACGGGGGTTGTGGAATCAGGCTTTCCCACAAAGGGGGGGACGGGACAGGACGTATACTCCAACGACAAAACGTTGAGGTGGAGCAATAGTGTGAAGTTGTATACCTGCTCATCAAAGGCGCAGCAGAAGAGCCAGGTTTTAAGGTCCTTTTTAAAGGTTTCTAGGGTAGGGGCTTTCCTCTCCAGGTAATAAACTTACATATGGACAGAGTGACCACAATACACAAAAGCAAAAAATAATTCATAAAAGTAAAAGCAATCCAAAGAATAAAACAACTTAAAATAAAAGCACCATAAATTACAAACCCAGATAAAACACACTACAGATAAAAATATAAAACTGATTATATTGAAGCTCCAACAGGCAAGGTTCAACGAAGACCAACGGCCAAGATGACTGATGTGGGTGTGACCAAGCTAAAAGGGCCAGGCAAGGGATAGTGCAAAAAGAGTACCATAGGGGCAGGGAAGTGGATGAAGTACAAAACAGATTGCTATCTGGTGACCTAGGGACTAGACGTTCTCAAAAACTTGCTGAAACATCCAAGTTTTCAGATCCCTATGAAAGGAGGACAATGTGGGGACTTGCCTAAGCTCCCTGGGGACGATGTGCCAAACTTGAGGGGCCACCATTGAGAAGGCCCCCTCCCTTGTCCCCACCAGCAGTGCTTGTGACGGTGGTGGAAGCAAGAGGAGGGCCGTCCCGGCAGATCTTAGAGCCCGCACCGGTTCATAGGGGGAGATGCGGTCACGAAGATACACAGGATCCAAACCGTTTAGGGCTTTGTAGGTGATAAGAATTGGGACTGGAAACTTACCGGCACCCAGTGGAGCTGCTTTAAAAGGGGCATTGTGCGCTCCCTATAATTAGCTCCAGTTAGAAGCCTGGCTGCCAACCCTTGTACCAATTGCAGTTTCCGGGCCATTTTCAAAGGTGGCCCCACGTAGAGTGCATTGCAGTAATCCAATCTGGATGTAACCAACGGATGGGCCACCATGGCCCAGTCAGGCTTCTTGAGGTACGGTCGCAGCTGGCGTACAAGCTTTAACTGTGCGAAAGCCCTTCCGACTACTGCCAACATTTGAGCAGCACTACCTGGTGAGATTAGGCAACCCCCCCTCCTTAGCAGATTTCAAGAAAAACTTGAAAACCTGGCTTTTCTGATATGCCTTTGGAGAGCGACCATTCATTCCACTTCTGTTTGCCCCATCTATAGTGTTGCCCCTATGATGCACTTTCCCCTGCCCTAAATTGAAAGCCTTACCCCACTGTTTTATCCTTCTTGGGTTCCCCTCACTTACACATTTTCTATTCCTACCTCACCCAGGGTTTTATCATTTTATCTCGTCCATTTGGCCTGCCCTTCCTGCTTGATTTCATATTGTGTTAACTTGCTTTATTGTTTTGTTTTGCTACTGTACGGTTCCGGTCCACTGTATCTGTCCGAACGCATATCCCGCTACATCCCGCCTCGGAGCTTGAGATCATCTGGGGAGGTCCTGCTCTCGACCCCACCACTCTCACAAGTGAGGCTGGTGGGGACGAGGAGCAGGGCTTTCTCAGTGGTGGCCCCTCACCTGTGGAACTCACTCCCCGGGGAAATCAGAGCATCACCATCCCTCCTCTCCTTCAGGAGGAGGGTGAAAACTTGGTTATGGGACCAGGCCTTTGGGCAACCAGGCAATTAAAGACTAGCAGGATGGACGAAATGGTATTAAAAAACGGATCTATGAGACAGCAAACACTGACAATGTAAGGGAGGAATCTAGGTTTGTATTGATTTTATTGATTTTTATTGGAATAATGCATGAAGATGTTAGTAATTGTGAATTTTACTGTAAGTTGTGATGATTGTTGTGTTGCCGGCATCGAATCGTGCCTTACTGTGTAAGCCGCCCTGGGTCCCCTTCGGGGTGAGAAGGGCGGGGTAAAAGAACCCCAAATAAATAAATAAATAAATGTAAACCAGATGGTACTTGTAACTGGAAAGAACCCAGCCAGTTTACCAGCTGTTAGGATTTCTGGGAGTTGAAGGCCAAAAACATCTGGGGACCCCAGGTTGAGTACCACTGGACTAGGAGGACCTCATCTTGTCTGAATTATGTGGACTAGGAGGACCTCATCTTGTCTGAATTATGCTTATGCTTGTGAACTCTCATCCAGTCCATCATGGCTGCCAGGCACTGGTCCAGGATTCGGGGGGCTTCCTTGGAATTTGGTGGAAAGGAGTAGTAGAGTTGAGTGTCATCTGCATACAACTGAAATGCCTTCCAGTAGCACAAGTACATGCATTCAACACCTGCAGCCCCTTGATTTGCCCCTTTCCTCCCATGAAAACATCATTTTAAATTATATTACTGCAATTTCCTTTCTGTCAGAGAGAGAGAAGTAGAGGGGCATATTTTAGAAGAAACTGTCCCCAGTTTGTGTTGAAGCCGTTTTACCACATTTCCTTTTTATTTTAAAGATAAAATTGTTTCTTCTTTTTTTCTAAGCTTATTTTTGCTTTAAAGCTGTCACGCTGCACACAAAGCCAGTTTAATCTTTTGAAAGTAAACCAGCAATCAAATAAAGTTAACTGAAAAGACATCCTTGTCAATAAATGTCACTTTGCAATAAGTGCTGCCAAATGTAATAGCCCTGGCCATGTTGGGGGTGGCAGGAAGTCCCATGAGAACTAGTCCACAGAAAGTGTTTTGTTAGCACAGCTCCAGTCACAACAAGTTTGTTTAAAGTTAACGTTTAAATGTA